GATTTTTTCTTGCCTCATTTAATGCTTAGTTTCTGTGTCTGTTATTTGTTAACAAGAGTTTATGAACTTGATTATACATTGTTTTGCTACTGTTTAGGTACTTAACTACAGCTCAGTCATTAAATATGCATTAATTCTTTTAATAATATAAATAAAACATTTTATTATTCCAGTAGATTAGCTCTTCACGATATAGTGTTAATCTTTTAGTTATATTGTTACATTTCAGTTCGGCATGCTGATGTGTAGTGTCCACTCCCTTTTCCTAGGGTATTACTGGTTGCTATATTTACCACCCATTGCTCCTCTCATGTCATTTATGTAGGCTAAATTCTTAGTGACCCTAAATATGTTGTCATACGCATCTTGTTGTTTCTATTTTGTGGGGTGGCACGGTACCCAACTTGTTATGAGGAAGACTTCCAAAGAAATGAGCATAGCTCGCCTGCATGACAGTCTGGACTCGTAGGGCTGAATCCCTCCCTGCACTGCCATGTTTTTTAAATCCACATTAACAATAACCCAGCAAGGTCTTGTACGTGCTGTAACACAGTCTATCTTGATATTTATTATTTAATCTATTAAAACATTTGGCTCTCTTCACACACAGTTGGGGGACCAATTAAAAGTCCAGAAAAACTATACTAAGTTTCTCATGTAATTAGACGTTTCAGGGCATGCTATTAAGGGCCATCTGTTCTCCTGGTTGACTGAGTATGACTGAGAAACGAGATGTTTCCTTTTGTACTTGGGGTTCCATCTGTCTTGATTCTATATTTGATTAATGCTGTATGGGGGTGGGGACTGAATTTATTTATAATGGTCTTAATTTGTATAGTCAGTTAAGTATGGTTTATCGAGTAGGATGTTGAACTGTTTCGCATTTGAGATGCCCTTTATTGTGTCAATGCAAATAACTCTCTTGAACATTTTTCTAGGAGAATCTCCATTGCTTTTCTCTTGTTTACATTCCCCCATCACCTACTTTTTTTCCCTTTCTACCAGTGATCCAATTTTGCCATGGAGTAAACGGCAAGATAGAAATCACTGGCTTTTCGTGCATTTTGAAGTTGGCTAGTAAAGCCAAGCAGCTCTGAGCAGTACAGCAAAACATATGCTGTCCAGTTATGAGAGCTGGCTTGCTGTCTCCTCTGTTACACCTGTGCAGTCCCACCGAAAGCAACTTAGAGTATGTGAGACTGCCGCACAACATGGAGATACCCAAATTAACTTTTAATTTAGGTATTTCTGCTATTCTGCCAGCCATGATATGTCAATACCGTTAAGAGGAGAGTTCAGTCCCTTTGTATCAGTGCAGCTGGTTGTCTACACTTTTCCCCGTAAAGTGCCTCTAAATCCTAACAGCAAAGATACACAACAATACTTTTAACATTTCTAACAACTGATTGCTTCAGTTAGATTTTTCCACTAGCACACACACATTTAAAACCTAAACATGGCTCTAAATAATACTTTAACCTCTTGTATAAATTCATGCAAATAAGATCAAAGGTCTCATATGCTCTGCATATAGCATATTCATAAATCTGTGCCAAGCCAAGAAGTCTGATCATTCTGCTTTAGCTACAGCACTGCATTTCATTACTGTGCTTTGATGTTTCATCCACTTTATGTACAGCAGCAGGTACAGTTATAGCACTATTCAAACAACACATTCATTCATTCATTCACCCAAATGCAATACTGTGTGAAAACATAAACCTGAAATATGAGTTTATAATACACTGTCACTGCACACTTAGCACTAGCAGCGTTCTAAGATAATTGTAGGTGCTTAGGGTAGGATCATCTCACCAAAATTTAGGCAAAGTTCATTATCGAGGAGTGAGTTAGTTACCTTTTTTCTCCCTTTGGTGTCAGCAGAGAATAACAGGAATTTCCGACTTGCAATTATTTTCCCTGACTTAGGGAAGGTGTGTAATTAGGTACTTCATTTGGAGTGAGATGAATCACCTAGGAGCCCGCATCCCTCATCCCTATGAAGAGCTCAACCTTGACTTCTCTAACTTTTAGCCGCCTGAAGTTAACTTCATGCCCCCCCCCAACGTGTGTTTCCCTGGCCTGCAATGTGCTGAACTCAGCATTTTTCAGCTATTAGCAGCTGACTCTAGAGATGTTCTTCCTCTCTCTTGAGGAGAAAGGGAATGCATCTTTCTGCAAAGAAAATATAAGTGCAGCCACTGTGACCGTGAGCTACATGATGCACACCATAGTGAATATGATTAATACAGTCACCTGGAATTTATTATCTACTGTGAAGGAGATGGGGATACTTTTGGGTGTAATTGGAAAGAGAATTAAACTTCTTTTTTAAAGAATTCTCCCTGAAATAAATACTTTTTTTTTTTTATTTAAAGTGAGTGAAGTTGCTTAAAGAACATAAGAAAAGCTATTAAAATTTCGACAGATGTTCTGCTCTGGTGAAATGTGAAACTGTGTTAATATTAACCCAAATAACATAGAGATAGATTGAGCATGTCAGAACTTTTTGTTACAATACTTTCGCAGACTGAAATATTTCTTTGTATTTTTTCCCTTCAGGAGTTACTTTGTTTCAAAATTGTAATTATTCTATAATCAGAAAACTGGAAAAATGAACTTTGATGGATTTTTTTTCTAAAATTTTTTTTCATAAAGCATCTGAAAGCATCAAGACTTGGGGAGAAATTAAATCATCCAAGAACTGCAATTTTCATCGTCATAGGAGCTCTACTTGAAGGGTCATCTGTAAAGGTGTTTTCATCTTGGGAATGGTCATATCGACTGTCTGCTCCCTTGACGATAATAACGTCTGTCAGTTCTCACAGTTTTCATAAAATGGAGGATGGTGTAAGTCATTGCAGATTTTATCATTACCAGATAGTAAAAATACTGGGTTTATAGATGTTTTTATATAATTTTCTACGTGTTTTAAGACCTGTATCTTCCAGGTGCTACAGCAGTGGCTGTGCTTTCTCAAAATTTAATAATCATCAGGAATCTTTAGCATGTTCCTTATAATTTTTCTCCATTTTCTTGCTTCATAAGAACACATGTTCTGTTAAAGAGGAACTGAAAAAAAGATATGCACATGAAAGCCAAGGTCTGAAAAATGGATGGAGGAAGGTGAATTTTCCATCCCTTTTGGGTTTTGTATGCCCTGCGAAAAATATCTGGGCTTCTCAGGCTCCTCCCCAGTCTCAGCAAACTTGTTCATAAATATCTACAAGGGATATGTTTTCTTATAATTGAGACTGAGTGGCCAGAGATTCAGTAAAGTCTCTGCTGTTCAGTGGTGAGTGTAATTTTCCATTCCAATACTTCACCTAGTGACGCAGCAGATCCTTTGTCTCTCAGCATCTAAATTAAGATCAGGTTTTTACCTTATGCAAAAATTCCTTAGTGGTATCTGCCCTTTTCTATGCTACAGAGGAGGCTACAGGAGTTCACTACAGTCTGATCCACCCGCAAGAACATGTGAAAAGTTTAGAGCCATTTTCAGTGACTATCTTGTCCATGGGATTGCTCCTCCTGCCCCTTCCTGAGAAGATGGAATTGCATGTGAAGTCATTTGTCCCCCTCTGGCAGACTCATGAAGCCCTGTGTCCCCCATGCCTCAGCCTATGAAGCCCTGAACAGCCTGGGTGACCGGTGCCTGTTGCATCTCCCCACGGGGATGGATCTGGGCTGAAGCAGCAGTAGGCACAAACGGGGCGCTCCTGCTTTGGGGAGCCATTGTCCAAAAGACACTTGGGGAGCTTCTGCACCCGTGGTGTTAGTAGCCTTTTTTTGTTTGTTTGTTTAAGTCTTGTTTTAGTAGAGGAACAGATGAGAACAGATATGTGAAAGCTTTCCTGTTAGGCAGGATATTTTAGATTCTGTGTTGGAGATGTATTTTAATCAAGGGCATCAAAAATATGGAAAGAGTTTGTCATACAGACTGAACATTAGGGATATTTTAACCGGCAGAAAGAAGGATGAGTGAGAGCTTAGCAAACTAATATAGGCATGGAAAGAGTTTGTCATACAGACTGAACATTAGAACATACAGACTGACTGGAAAATAAGATTTGATGACCTTTTAATCATGGGCTTTCTCAGTATGTAGAGGAAGATCATTTATTTTCCCCGTGCTTCAGGTTTTTTCTATACAGTGGGGATAATAACACTACTTGAAATAAGCCTTGTAGGGAGAAAAGTTAAATATTGGCAGTTGCTTACAGGTTTCAATCAAAGAATCACACTAGCTATTTACTTTGGGCCAATAAATGCTATGTGTATATACAGAATTTCAAAGTAAAATAGGTCATGAAATCATGATGTGGTTAAGGCTCTCCTCTAAGACTCGGACCAGAGTGGGCCAAAGGACCTGTGGTATTTTATGAGACATCTGTATTATGAACTAAAAAAACCAACTGGACATTAAAGAGCCTTTGACAATCTTTAGAGGAAAAGACGAGTTACGACCTTTAAATCTGAAATTACAGATAATTACATTTTCCTCCCTTAATCCCCCCGTAGTTCCAATTAGGGATGCTATTTCTCACTTCCTCTCCCAAAGTGTGGCACGATGCTGCTCTGCATTATTGAACAGCTGCCTTACTTTACCCCAGAGGTGACTGCTTCTTGGCGGTGGGTGAAATGAGCCGCGCAGATTCCTTGACTACATCACAGAGATATTGTGACTAGCTTAATTAGATAATGCTCAAGAAGTGTTGTGAGATACTTGGATTAAAAGCATTATGTAAGGCCAAATTAATAATGAGCATTAATACGATCTTGATCTAAAGAGTAATTTGAATAAGAGATAAAATAATAATGAGATCTTTGTGAGTCACGTACAGAATGCTTGCTTCTCCATATAAAATATCTCCCACCTCATTTAAAATGTTTCTGTGGAGCTGAGCAGGGCAGTGCCGCTGAGAAGTGACAGGGATATGCGCTGCCAGATGTGAGTCATCACTGAACTCCGGCTCTGGCTTCTTTGTTCACATTTCAAGCACAAGACACACTGTTCCCTACAACAGAGTTGCCTGCAGATGCCTTGATGGAACGTGAAATGAGGAACCCGCCAGACAAGGAGTTGTTTGGGTTTGTTCTGAATTTTGGGGGATTATCTTCATTCCCTGTGCAGATATGCGGTGACATGGCACAACCATCCTTGTCCCTGGGTGAAATCCTGGCGTTTCTGAAATCAAGGAAACATTCCCTTCACCTTCAGTGGAACCAGGATTTCTACCACGTACGTGTTTCAGTGCTGTGTTCTTTTAGGTAAGGAAATGGTGGAAATGATGTGAATTTATGTAGCCATGCAGTCTATTTCCCTGCAAAAATAGAAAAATCAGACTGAACTGAACTGACTGATCTCCAAATCTGTCTTAACAGTTGGGTGGCCAGCATGGGTGTCCATGGCAGCTTTTTGCTTCATAAGCTTTATACATTTTGTGGATGCCTACAAAGTTTGGTATCATATTTATTTTAATGAAATCTGAAAGCATGGAGATCCGATCTCTAAATTGAAACTTTTTATATTGCTAGAGTAGATTCATTTGATTAAATACACATATCTATAGTACATTTAAGACACCTGCTCTAGGATGAACTGGATTGCTCCTTAGATCTGCCCTGATTCTAAGAGGAGTCTATAGTATCTAACTACTTTTAGTCACATGAATTTTATAATTTTATACTACTTTTTGGTAAGTACTTAAGGATTTTAATAGGGCTGGAATACTGAATTATTTAATGTTACTGAGCTAGTTACCACAGAAATGTGAGCACAGAATTGTATTTTAACTTTAGAACCAGTGTATCTCTGCGAATTTCTCACTTTGATTACTATCTAGTGAAATATTTGAACTGAATAACCATTTTCTTTTCAGGTGTTGGACAAATATGGGCCAGATTTCCACAGGCAGACTTCCTTGTTATGTAAAACTTGAGCTGACTAAAGCTGGGCATATAAATGACATTCTGAACATTTAGTTCTAGTCCTCTTATTTTTGTTTACTTCTGTGCTTCATTATAATGAGAGATATACATTTTTGTGTACCAGGAATTATAATTACTCATGTCCACAGAGCAGCTCACCAGAGAGCACAATTATTGCTCACATATTGGCTCAAGGCAAGAATTAAGACTAGACAGTCTGACATGATCATGACTCTGACATTCTAATTTGTTCATCTCCTGGTAGCACCTAACAGATCACCTATGCCTGTCCTAATTTTTCAGCACAAAGAGATTAAACTCCTGCCTCCCTATCATTTTTTGTGAGGAAGATGTTCATACCTGAGAATGAAGTTCACCTTACTCACAAAGACACAGAGACATCGACAGGGATGGCACATGAGGCAGCTGGCCACATGGGGTAGCACAGCCAATGTCACAGAAATGTCTGAGGCCACAGGGACAGGACAGACAGTGCTGGGTGCACAGGGATGGAGAGTGCTCTGTTTCTTGGGAGAATTCAAGCAAGGTCCTGGGGCAAGCTACGTATCTACCACAGCTAGAGATTTATTCAGGCTGGAGGTGACCTTTCCATTGCTCATAAGCCTCATGTAGATGAATCACACAGAATCACAGAATGGCAAGGGTTGTAAGGGACCTTGGGAGATCAGCTAGTCCAACCCTCCTGCTAAAGCAGGTTCACCTAGAGTATGTTACACAGGACTTCATCCAGGAGGGCTTTGAATATCTCCAGAGGAGACTCCACAATCCCCCTGGGCAGCCTGATGAAGAATTGGTTTGATGTGGCTGCTGAGGACTGCTTCAAGGCAGGGGCTACAGCAGGGATGGCCAGAGAGCCTGCACCGTGTGCTCCCTGTAGGGGCTGTTCATGCCCATCTATTTCCAGGTGCAACTTGGTCCAGAATTCAAAAGCACTTTTAGTGCAGGAAGACGCTGGACTGCCCTTTACTCACCTGCCCAACAGGAGCAGAGGAAGGCTGCTGCCCAGCACAGGTACCTGGTCTTTTGCTCTTACACTGGCCTGAATCACTGAAAAATATCTGGTGCTCAGGCTTTCCTGGGCTGGATTACTCTGAGTTTGTGTGAAGATTTTCCTCCACAGCAGAGAAAACTGAGTATCTTCTCAGAGCTATATTGCAGGGCACGTATGCATGAGCTTATTTGGGGAACTACAGACCTAGCTATAATGCCAGGGCTCGGCAAGATTCGTCCATAAGGCATTGGTAAGGTACGTGAGCCTACATAGAGATGGCCATCCCGCTCTCCATGCTATGACAGAGTGAGTAGAGAGGCTACTTTTTCCTCTACACACATACAACTCATTAGAAAACAGTAACAATTTTTCAGAAATTTGTCTCTATTACAGAAATGCTGGAAGTGGTAAGAGGAGAGTGAGTGAGCCAGTTGTAAATATTACTCATTCTGTTTTAATATCTCTTAGTAATAAATGTTCACAAACAAGCACAAATTAAGTTCACTCTGCATATTTTAAATTCATTTTGCTTGTTTCTTTTATAAGACTTATGGTTCACTATATGATTTTAAGTGGTTTTACAAAATTGCTTCAAAAGAGATGATTCTGTAGAGTTTGCATACTCTTGATGTATAACTTTGGAATTATTTGTTCTTGTGCTTCCTTTTAGTTACAGAACAAAGCTTGCTTAAACTTTTATTGAGACAGCTCAAGTAATTTCCTTACAACAAACTGAATGAAAAACACATCATTAAAAGAAGATTTAAAGATGAGAAAAATCCTTTTAATGAGAGCACAACTCCTGAAAATAACTTCAGCTCTGACAGTGAATTCTTAGTTATTTAATGAAATCCTAGTAAGCAGTACTTTATCCCGTATGTGTCAGGACTTTTCAGTGAGGGAAAATGAACTTTGGTCCTAATGTGTGCTCTGGGAGTGAGAGGCATCGCGAAAATATTACAGCAGGGTATTTCAAACTTAATTTGCTCAGTTGTCTTTGAAGGTAGCATGGGTGCTGATAACAGCAATTCCTGGTTCTCCGTCAGGCCGTGCATGTGTGCAGGAAAAAAGGTGTCATTGTCCTTTCCCTCACCACCCACCAGTTATGATC